ATTTCTTCTTCTCACTGCACATTTACTCTTCTTGACCGACATTTCCTGATAGTTGTTAAACACAACATCAGTCCACTTTCTCTGACCACCTTCTCTCAGAGCCTCATGAACAGCCTTGGCTACCTCTCCAAAATCAACTTGATCCTCTGTAACTCTGTCTTCCAGGCTCCTTCAATCCACAACAATTACAAAATCAGGAATAATTTGCTCTGCTAACATCATATTCTTCTGCCACGATGTCCTCCGGGCTTAGCTCTTAGTCTATATTATTATAATTGCAGCGATGGCTGCAATTATAATTATATAGGGCTGATCAAGCCCCGGGAAGGAGGTCCAAGCTAGAGACATAATAACAAAAAATGGAAGAACACTGCAGCATGATTTTCTCAGTTCTGAAAGAATGATTAAAAAAACACTGGCTTGTCTTCCTCAGTACCAATATCACTGGCCCACGTCCCCGCCTATCCGCCGTAATGACGTTTTTTTTTTTATTAACACATCAGCCCACCAAGGCAGGGTGGCCCGAAAAAGAAAAACTTTCATCATCATTCACTCCATCACTGTCTTGCCAGAGGCATGCTTGCACTACGGTTATAAAACTGCAACATTAACACCCCTCTTTCAGAGTGCAGGCATTGTAATTCCCATCTTCAGAATTCAAGTTTGGCCTGCCAGTTTCCCTGAATCCCTTCATAAATGTTTCCTAGCTCACACTCCAGCAGCACGCCAAGTCCATAAAACCATTTGCCTCCATTTGCTCCTATTTAACACGCTCATGCATGCTTGCTGGAAGTCCCAGCCCCTCGCACACAAAACCTCCTTTATCCCTCCCTCCAACCTTTCCTAAGCCTACCCCTACCCCACCTTCCTTCCACTACAGATGTATACGTTCTCCAAGTCATTCTATTTCGTTCCAGAAATAGAATATCCAAACCACCTCAACAGCCCCTCCTCAGCCCTCTGGATAATACTTTTAGTAACTCCACACCTCATCGCAATTTCCAAACTACGAATTCGCTGCATTACATTCACACCACACATTGCCCTCAGACTCGACATCTCCACTGCCTCCAGCCTTCTCCTTGTTGCAACATTCACCACCTATGCTTCACGCCCATATAAGAGCGTTGGTATAACTATTCTCTCATACATTCTCCTCTTTGAGTCCATGGACAAAGTTCTTTGTTTCCACAGACTTCTCAGTGCACCACTCACCTTTTTCCCCTCGACAGTTCTATGATTCACCTCATCTTTCATAGACCCATCTGCTGACACGTCCACTCCCAAATATCTGAATACATTCACCTTCATACTCTCTCCCTCCAGTCTGATATCCATTCTTTCTTTACGTGTTTTTTTTTATCTTCCTCACCTTACTCTTTCCTACATTCACTTTTAATCTTCTTTTACATACACTACTAAACTCATAAACTAATCTCTGCAGCTTCTCTTCAGAATCTCCCAACAGCACAGTGTCATCAGCAAAGAGCAACTGTAACAACTCCCATTTGGTGCTAAATTCTTAATCTTTTAACCCCACACCTCTTGCCAACATCCGAGCATTCACTTCTCTTACAACCCCATCTATAAACATATTGAACAACCACGGTGACATCACACATCCTTGTCTAAGGCCTACTTTTACTGGGAAATAATCTCCCTCTCTCCTACATACTCTAACCTGAGCCTCACTATCCTCGTAAAAACTCTTCACTGCTTTCAGTAACCTACCTCCTATACCATACATTTGCAACATCTGCCACATTGCTCCCCTATCCACCCTTCATACGCTTTTTCCAAATCCATAAATGCCACAAAAACCTCTTTACCCTTATCTAACAACTGTTCTCCTGTGTTTCACTGTAAACACTTGGTCTACACACCCCCTACCCTTCCTAAAGCCTCCTTGTTCATCTGATATCGGATTTATACGATAAAATAAGACATTCACCATTATATAATTTAATTACTCAATACCCAAAACAAACTGAATTACATTTTATAACTAAGAAATGTGTAGAGACAATAACATTAACGCCTAATTACTTATTTTACTCTCATGAATAACTCAGATATAACTCTGTTATAACTGTATAAATAAAAATGATCATTAGAAAGTCCTGCTCAACCTGTTGGTCAGTCTCTGGAGGATGTCACAGTGCTGATGTCACAGTGTTGATGTCACAGTGTTGATGTCACAGTGTTGATGTCACAGTGTTGATGTCACAGTGCTGATGTCACAGTGTTGATGTAACAGTGCTGATGTCACAGTGCTTATGTTACAGTGTTGATGTCACAGTGTTGATGTCACAGTGCTGATGTCACAGTGTTGATGTCACAATGTTGATGTCACAGTGTTGATGTCACAATGTTGATGTCACAGTGCTGATGTCACAGTGTTGATGTCACAGTGCTGATGTAACAGTGCTTATGTTACAGTGTTGATGTCACAGTGTTGATGCCACAGTGCTGATGTCACAGTGCTTATGTTACAGTGTTGATGTCACAGTGCTGATGTAACAGTGCTTATGTTACAGTGTTTATGTCACAGTGCTGATGTCACGATGCTGATGTCACTATGTTGATGTAACGAACTGATGTCACAGTGATGTAATGCTGATATCACAATGCTGATGCTACAGTGCTCATGTCACAATTCCGATGTCATAATGCTGCTGTCACAGCACTGTCAATGCTGATGTCAGTGATGTCACAAAGCTAATATCACAATACTGTCACAGTGGTGATATTAGAGTGGTGTCACAGAGAGGATGTCACATTACTGATGTCATAGCTAGGATGTCTCAGCACTGATGTCACAACGCTGTCAATGCCAATGTCACAGTGATGTCACATGTCACTGTGACACCACTGTATTATCACAGTAGTGATATTACGGTGGTGTCACAGTGCTGATGTTACAGTGAGGATGTCTCAGTGCTAATATCAAAGTGAGGATGTCACAGTGCTGGTATTTCAGCCTTAAGAAATGATCCACGCCGGCTTAACAATATACGTTCATTCCCATGGTGAGTTAACAGCAACTTCTCTTTCCTCAGTATCTCTCCTACAGAGATAAACGGATTTATATTTACCGCTTTCTCTTTGGAATTAACGTCCCTGTTGATATTCCTCTGTATAAAGTTCAAGAAGATGAAATTTGATGAAGGAAATGCTGAGGAATCAGTAAGATTCGATTCGGTATTCAATGAGCCATTAATCAGAGGTAGGAAAAAATTGACAAGAGTGTAACAACAAAATCAGCATGACTCAAGAAATCGTAATATCACAAGTGTAAACAAAACACTATACGAGTGGAGTTGGAACTCATGTCAAGTGAGTCGTACAAATAAGTCAGCATTTTTGCCCAACCTTATCTTTCCTTGACTTCGAAAACACTAGTGATATGTTAATGGATGTGAAGACGCAATGCCACTGACGTGGGGACCACGTTACTCTTTATTAAGTTTATGACACACAACCTGAGATCAAAGTAGTCCCAGTAGAAGTCCGTTCCGAATATTGTGTCTTTATACCAGAACTTGGGTAATACACTCTGCCCCTGATCCTGACAAATGGAACTCCATATTCAACAAAACAGCTACAAAAAATATTATGAATTGCCTAAAGAAATATCCCATGGAAACAGTGGCTAGACACATGCCTCATCAAATTAACTTTAAAAATCGTACTGATAAGTCTCCACTTGGTAAAGGTGGCAGTAAAGCGGTTGAAAAAATATATAATGAAACGATAGCATCGAGGTTAAACGTTATCAGAATCGCTTAAAAAGTACTGTTAAAATTGTTAAACACACGAAAACTATTACATTTATACTATCCAGACTATCAATGTTTTAAAACCATTGCTCCCGCCTGTCGCATCTGCAAGACCATTATAACTTGGTAGTGGACACACTGAGAGACAAGCAAACTGTTGACTTCGTACACGCATACTTTGGGAAAGCTTCAGAGAAGCGTGATTGTGGTGTAATAACTCTATTTGCGTGTGACGTCACAGAGGGAACGTGAGTGTGGGTACACTGAAAGAATATGACATAGGTTAGGTAAGGTTTATCAGGAAACAGGACAAGTGTTTCCTGACGCGGGTCTTAGTTACATGATGACCCGACACTAGAGTTTTTGGTCATCTGACCGAGGCTTTCAGCTGGCGTACCGGTCCACTCCTTTAAAAATTACTGTTTTTATAATCATTTAGGCCTCCCTAGCCGCAAAGATGCGACCTATAAAGATGAAACCCGATTCTGACGACGTCGACTGCCTGTTCGCAAGCTGTACTTGGCCTGAAATAAATCACTACAACTAATCCCAACATGAAACGAGTATTATGAGCTACGTACATCAAGGACACAATGGGCTGTGTCGAATATAATTCCAATATAGATGTGTTGATACAATTATTTTTAGGAAAAATACTTTTTATTTCTATTAAATTAAAAGAAACTTGTGAAAACTTCAGATGTAAAGATTTTTAATTAGTGTAATAATGTTCGCATCTTATAACAACACATTTTGAGTATGATGAATAACAATTCAAAAATGGAGTTCTTTTATGAATAAAAAAATTATATAAAGAGAAGATTTAAATGTTGTACAGACTGACTAAATGTTAAAGAATTAATCAGTGCTGAGTCTGGTAACATAGACATCAAAAATTCCCTTTAAATTCTAAAATATTCTTTTAAAAAATAAAGGTGATTCTAGTTAATGGTATTAAATTAGAAGAAACACTGTTAATAACTGTGTAACAAAAACAGAAACACTTGATTCAGTTTACGTCGTGTGTAATTTATGCTCAAAAATAAATTAAGTCGTAATTCATAAAGTTTTCTAAAAAGTAATATTATAACTTTAAAAACTTCGTGCACTGCTTAGGAAAAGAAAAAAAGAGATAAAGAAAATGCAAGACCACCACAGGGAGCTCTACTGAAAAAACGAAAATAATTAAGATATGCTGTTTAGTATATAAGGGAGACTCAGAGGCTGATCATCACAACACCAGCAAACATGCAGTGGACGGTGGTTGTAGCAGCATTCTTGGTGGCCACTGTGGCCGCCCGCTCTGACGTGGCTCACAAGCAACAGGCCATCAATCGTCTACTTTATAGGATCACCAGCCCTATCATGTCGACTTTCACCGACCTTAAGGAGGCAGCACAATCATGGAACCCAAAAGACCACACTGATCAAACCACAGATGGAGGTGCAGCCGTAAAACATCTGATGGAAAAGTTGGAGGATCACACCTTACTCAAGAAGCATCACTGGTTCTCCCTCTTCAATGATCGTCAGCGTGAAGAAGCTCTGTGGCTTGTCGATGTCTTGTTGAATTCAAAAGATTTTGAGACCTTCAAGAACAACGCTGCTTACTTCCGTGAGCGCATGAATGAAGGGGAATTTGTTTACGCTCTTTATGCAGCAGTGACTCACTCTGACCTAACACAAGATGTCGTCTTACCACCACTCTACGAGGTCACCCCCCATATGTTCACAAACTCAGAGGTCATCAGCAAAGCCTATGCTGCTATGATGAAGCAGATTCCAGGTAACTTCAAAATGAACTTTACAGGTAATAAGAAGAACCCAGAGCAGCGTGTGGCCTACTTCGGTGAGGACGTTGGCCTAAATTCTTACCACGTTCACTGGCATTTGGACTTTCCCTTCTGGTGGAAAAGGGATAAGATTGACAGGAAGGGAGAGCTATTCTTCTGGGTTCACCATCAGTTGAATGCCAGATACGACGCCGAGCGTCTTTCTAATCATCTGTCTAGAGTTGAGGAACTCTGTTGGGACTGCATCATTGAAAACGGTTTTGCTCCTCACACTACTTATAAATATGGCGGAGTGTTCCCCACTCGTCCAGACAACAAGAAATTTGATGATGTAGAAGGTGTGGCCCGAATTCGTGACATGAAAGAATTAGAAAGTCGAATTCGTAGTACCATTGCTCTCGGTTACGTTATTAATTCCGACGACACCCATACTAACATTAGTAATGAACATGGCATTGACATTTTGGGAGATCTCATCGAGTCTTCCACCTATAGCCCCAATAATGGTTACTATGGCTCTCTACATAACCAGGCTCACCGCATCTTGGGTGCGCAGGCTGATCCTAAGCTAAAGTATGATATGCCTCCAGGAGTCATGGAACACTTCGAGACGGCCACCCGTGACCCTGCCTTCTTCAGACTCCACAAATATATAGATGGACTCTTCAAGGAACACAAAGACAGGTTGCCACCTTATACCAAGAGTGATTTCCTCTACAGTAATGTAAAAATCACTGACGTCGAGGTCACTGAACTCTCCACCTATTTTGAAGATTTTGAGTTCGACCTGATTAATGCTCTAGACACATCAGAGCACGTCAATGAGGTTTCTGTCAAAACACACGTATCACGCCTGAACCACAAACCATTCACCTTCAAGATTCATGCTAACGCAGAACGCGACGACAGAGTCACTATTCGCATCTACATATCCCCAAAGCGTGATGAGAATAACATCGTCCTTCACATTAACGAGCATCGCTGGGGAGCCATCTTACTCGACACCTTCTGGGCCGAAGGTAAGTTTTGCTACATTATATAACCATTTGCACTCAAATATAGGAACCTGTCACCATGCTAAAGGTTCTTCCTAACAGAGTCGGAGGTCTCGGAGCATGGAACAAGTACACGCTCAAATTATTTTTTAACATGTGACAAAATCGCCACCAGCTTTCTTGTCCAGAGACTGTTTTATCCAGAGAAGAAACAGCTGCAATATTCTGGAGAATGCAGGAAGTGTTTGAACTCTAGGCTATATGGTAGTATACTAGTGAGTTAGCCTGTACTTTTGAGATAACTAGCCGAATATTATATACAGTGGTCCCTCGTTGTTCGTAATTAATCCGTTCCTGGAGCCGTTACTATAAACGAAATTTACGATTTACGAATCAATTTTCCCCATAAGAAATAATGTAAATACAATTAATCCGTTCCTGACACCCAGAAGTATTAAAACAAAAAAAAATTTAACATGAAATATGCATGTAGTACATAAACAATACAATGGGAAATGATGAATGCAACATTAACAGCATAACACTTACCTTTATTGGAGATTCTTCTTAGTGTATGAGAGACTGGAGGAGGAGAGAGAGTGGGTTGTTTATAGTTTGGAAGGGGAATCCCCTTCCATCAACACCTCAGGTACCATTTGCTTTTTCTGGGGTTGCTTCTCTTCTCTGTTTCTTAATGCCACTAGGACCACCTTGAGAGTCACTGGAGTCCTGTCTCACAAAATAACTGTGGAGAGAGCTCTGTTTCTGGCGTCTCTTTAACACTTCCCTAAAATGGCCCAAGATTTTGTCACTGTACATGTTGCCAACCTGGCTTGCAACAACCTTGTTAGGGTGATGTTTCTCCATAAAGCTTTCCATCTTACCCCACATAGTAAAAATCTTTTTAATTTCTGAAGAAGGCACCTTCTTCCATCTCTCTTCCTCCTCTGCAGCAAGATTCTGAGCTCTTCCTGCTGAAGCTCTTGCAGCTCCTCAGTGATGAGCTCTTCATTGTGGTCTTCCACCAATTCTTCCACATCCTCCAAACTCACATCCAACCCCATGGAACTCCCCAGTGCCACAATTGATTTTACAACAGACATAGGCTCATTAGGGTCAGTCCCAAATTCTTCAAAATCCCTCTTGTCGACACAATCTGGCCACAATTTTCTCCAGGCAGAGTTCAAAGTCCTGGTAGTCACTCCCTCCCAAGCCATACCTATAAGGGTTATGCAGTGGAGGATGCTGAAGTGTTCTCTCCAAAATTCCCTTAGGGTCAAGTGAGTGTCTGTGGTCACAGTCAAGCACCTGCGAAACATTGCTTTTGTGTAGAGTTTTTTAAAGTTTGCAATAACCTGCTGTTCCATGGGTTGGAGGAGAGGAGTGGTATCCGGGGGCAAGAACTTTACTGTGATGAACCCAAACTCCTCGAAAATTAGGTCATCCAAGTTTGGAGGATGAGCAGGTGCATTGTCCATTACTAGCAGGCACTTGAGATCCAATTTCTTTTCCAGGAGATACTCCTTCACACTAGGGCCAAACACTTCATTGAACCACTCGACGAAAATTTCCCTCGTGACCCATGCCTTACTATTAGATTTCCAAAACACACACAATTTACTCTTCATAATATTGGTTTTCCTGAACACTCTGGGATTTTCAGAATGGTACACTAGTAATGGCTTCACTTTGAAATCCCCACTAGCATTAGCACAGAACATTAGCGTCAGCCTGTCTTTCATAGGCTTGTGTCCTGGCATTGCCTTTTCCTCTTGTGTAATGAAGGTCCTCTTTGGCATTTTCTTCCAAAAGAGGCCTGTTTCGTCACAATTGAACACTTGTTCAGGTTTCAGTCCTTCAGCCTCTATGTACTCCTGGAATTCATGCACATATTTTTCAGCCGCCTTGTGGTCCGAACTGGCAGCCTCACCATGCCTTACCACACTGTGCATGCCAGTACGGTTCTTAAATCTCTCAAACCAGCCTTTGCTGGCCTTAAATTCACTCACTTCACCACTATTTGCAGGCAATTTCTTTACCAAATCTTCATGCAACTGCCTAGCCTTTTCACAAATAAACGAAGTCATAAGAGTAATCTCTGCTAATTGTTTCTCATTTATCCACACCAATAATAACTTCTCAACCTCTTCCAGTACTGGTGATCTCATTTTTTGTCAGCATAGTTACTCCCTTTGCAACAACAGCATCCTTTATTTCATTTTTCTTGGCCACTATGGAACATAAGGTTGTGCAGGGTTTCTTATACATCCTGGACAGTTCGGCCACACTTGCACCACTTTCATATTGTTCAATGATGGTTTTCTTAAATTCAATCGTATTTCTCACCTTCTTTACCACAGGCTTGGCACTAGGAGCTTTCTTTGGAGCCATTGTAGCTTATTTAGTACTTGCAAGCACTAAAATAAATGGAATATTATGAAATATTTTGCTGGAGCACGTGAGGGGACCTTCGCTCACTGGTAAACAATGCCAGACTGGCTGCCGCCCTGGCTCACGCCGTGGGTACGCGTCCCGGACGAACTACGACTCGCGAGTCAACCTATGAAAAGCGAGTCCATGTTTATACGAAAATACCTCTATGATTGGCGAATGTTACGATTGCCGGGAACTACGAAAAGCGGGGGACCACTGTATTATATTATTTAATTTCTGTAATACATGTGATAACCATTGGTATACAGCAGGGGTGGGCAACTTCTTCGATAAGAAGAGCCACATATAATATTTTTCAAACATTTTTAAATCTTCGAGAGCCACAGAAAATATTATTTTAAAATTGTATTAACAAATAATAAAAAACTCAACTATAAAATAGTCCTCCTCACCAAAGCAGAATAACTTTTATCTCTTCTCGTTGAAGACTTTGATTGAGTCTTCATTTTTGCAATTAATAGTTTAAAATTTGGCTAGTATGATAAAACTGTTCTAAAAAAGCTCATTGACGTGGCTGTTAGTGAAAATAGCACGATATTTTGACTTGATAAATTTCATTACAGACAAGAGAGATTCACAGCAGTAAGTTGTCCCAAAAACAGAGTAGTTGGAGCCAGTTTTTTGAAGATTAGGATACTTTGCTTCTGGGATTTGTTTTCAAAAGTCAGTTAGAGATGAGCTTTTAAGTACAAGCTTTAAACTCACATCTTCCTGCAGCTCAATAAGCTCTGTTTCTGTTGACAAAATAATGTGAATTACCCGTATATATACGTCGTGCCGAATAGGTAAAACTTGCGATTTTGGCTGAAATAACAACGCTCTTCTTGCCGAATAAGGCAAGCGAAAATTTGTGTATGAAATAACTTCGCAAAAATTATTCTGAATCTAACGAAAAAAACATGTTTCATTGAGTCTCTATATCATAAATTTTTTGTAAACTAATGTAAAATATATTTAGTTGGATTATGATAAATTGCGCTTGTTATAATAAGGTTAGGTAAGTTTTCTAAGGTTCTTGTGGCACAAAATTATTAATTTTTACATGAACATAAATGAAAAAAATTATCTTTAAACGTATAAGAAAAAATTTAAGAAAGGACTAATTTTAAATGGGAGCCGCATGCGGCTCTAGAACTGCACTCTGCCCATGTTTGGTGTATAATTTTATAATATATATATTTGCATTTCAGTACGTGCGGGAGACAACGTAATCAAGCGTAAGTCTTCCCAGTCATCGGTGGCCATCGTTGATCGGGTGTCCTTCCCCCAACTAATCCACGATACTGACGAGGCTGTGGCCAACAACGCTGAGCTGCCTCATAAGGACACTCGTGCCTGTGGTCATCCCCAGAGACTGCTGCTGCCTAAGGGCACTCACGACGGCTTAGAATTCTGGCTAAACGTCATCATTACCAGCGGAAGCGATGCTGTGCATGAAGACTTAGTCGAAAACGAACGTGGCAGCAACCATGGTTACTGTGGTATTCATGGTGAGAAGTACCCTGACAAGCGCCCAATGGGTTTCCCCTTCGATCGTCGCATTCCTAATCCAAAGGTGTTCAAGGTGCCAAACCAGCACGATCAAGTCGTCAAGATTTTCCATCACTCATAAAAACTCTTGATTTTCTATACAGGGATTTTTGAAGGAAGAATTGTGCCAAATATGTTATAAAGATGATTTTATTAGCTGACACAAGTTACGTATATATATATATATATATATATATATATATATATATATATATATATATATATATATATATATATATATATATATATATTATATATATATATATATATATATATATATATATATATATATATATATATATATATATATATATATATATATATATATATATATATATATATATATATATATATATGTATTTCAGTTAGATCTTTTAAAGTTTAAATTGTATTTCACTGCAGCTTGTAAAATGTTTACAAAAGGTAACCAAAAGGGTTTCAAACATCAACGAACCTTTGGACCCAGACGAGGCTGTTCATAGAAAGCTTTACGGTGTAGCTAACATTGTATGCTTGTATTTGGAAAAAAAGTTTTTATCCAGCCTATTTTTAAATAAATACCCTCATTTGTTTCTGCAATATTTTCCATTTATTTATCAGAATAAGGAAATAATATATACCCAGGGTGACTGAAAAACCTTTCGTTGTGCAGTTTAACTGGGTCGACGATATTACAAAATTTACCTCTAAATGAAGATTTTTATGCTGTTTTATAGATGAGTGTAATAAGTTACCTCAGCCATCGCTTTGCAAGCGTGAATAATTGTTGGTGTTCTAAATGAGGCTCTTACGATATACTTCTTCATCTTAGTGTCATCTTACGATATACTTCTTCATCTTAGTGTCATCTTACGATATACTTCTTCATCTTAGTGTCATCTTACGATATACTTCTTCATCTTAGTGTCATCTTACGATATACTTCTTCATCTTAGTGTCATCTTACGATATACTTCTTCATCTTAGTGTCATCTTACGATATACTTCATCTTGGTATTATCTTACGATATACTTCTTCATCTTGGTGTCATCTTACGATATACTTCATCTTGGTATCATCTTACGATATACTTCTTCAACTTGGTGTCATCTTACGATATACTTCATCTTGGTATCATCTTACGATATACTTCTTCATCTTGGTGTCATCTTACGATATACTTCTTCAACTTGGTGTCATCTTACGATATACTTCATCTTGGTATTATCTTAAGTTATACTTCTTCATCTTGGTGTCATCTTACGATATACTTCTTCAACTTGGTGTCATCTTACGATATACTTCATCTTGGTATTATCTTAAGTTATACTTCTTCATCTTGGTGTCATCTTACGATATACTTCTTCAACTTGGTGTCATCTTACGATATACTTCATCTTGGTATTATCTTAAGTTATACTTCTTCATCTTGGTGTCATCTTACGATATACTTCTTCAACTTGGTGTCATCTTACGATATACTTCATCTTGGTAAATTTTCTTAAGTTATACTTCTTCATCTTGGTGTCATCTTACGATATACTTCTTCAACTTGGTGTCATCTTACGATATACTTCATCTTGGTATTATCTTAAGTTATACTTCTTCATCTTGGTGTCATCTTACGATATACTTCTTCAACTTGGTGTCATCTTACGATATACTTCATCTTGGTATTATCTTAAGTTATACTTCTTCATCTTGGTGTCATCTTACGATATACTTCATCTTAGTATTATCTTAAGTTATACTTCTTCATCTTGGTGTCATCTTACGATATACTTCATCTTGGTATTATCTTAAGTTATACTTCTTCATCTTGGTATTATCTTAAGTTATACTTCTTCATCTTGGTGTCATCTTACGATATACTTCATCTTGGTATTATCTTAAGTTATACTTCTTCATCTTGGTGTCATCTTACGATATACTTCATCTTAGTATTATCTTAAGTTATACTTCTTCAACTTGGTGTCATCTTACGATATACTTCTTCATCTTGGAATCATCTTACGATATACTTCATCTTGGTATCATCTTACGATATACTTCTTCAACTTGGTGTCATCTTACGATATACTTCATCTTGGTATCATCTTACGATATACTTCTTCATCTTGGTGTCATCTTACGATATACTTCTTCAACTTGGTGTCATCTTACGATATACTTCATCTTGGTATTATCTTAAGTTATACTTCTTCATCTTGGTGTCATCTTACGATATACTTCATCTTGGTATCATCTTAAGTTATACTTCTTCATCTTGGAATCATCTTAAGTTATACTTCTTCATCTTGGAATCATCTTTGTCAGTCAACGCTGGACCCACCAGTTTGTCAATTGCTTTAAATGTTATTAAAATTGCATGCAACATTCTGAAGTACAACGCAACAACGATTTATTCAAGAGTGAATAAAAGCTTCAAATCATGTATGAGTGGTGTATGTCTTTAATTGTATATATTCTATTGTATCTTTTAGCTTCTTTATCCTCAGATCATTTGCCATTATTACACACGAACAGAAGATGGAAAAGCATTGTATCATTGAGTTATATCACAACCTTGGTGACTGAGACACGGCATTACCACGTGTGTGTGTGTGTGTGTGTGTGTGTGTGTGTGTGTGTGTGTGTGTGTGTGTGTGTGTGTGTGTGTGTACTCACCTATTTGTGGTTGCAAGGGTCGAGTCATAGCTCCTGGCCCCGCCTCTTCGATGATTGCTACTAGGTCCTCTCTCTCCCTGCCCCATGAGCTTTATCATACCTCGCCTTAAAACTATGTATGGTTCCCGCCTCCACTACGTCACTTTCTAGGCTATTCCACGGCCTGACTACTCTATGACTGAAGAAATACTTCCTAACATCCCTTTGATTCATCTGAGTCTTCAACTTCCAATTGTGATCTCTTGTGTCTGTGTCCCTTCTCTGGAACATCCTGTCTTTGTCCACCTTGTCTATTCCGCGCAGTATTTTATATGTCGTTATCATGTCTCCCATGACCCTCCTGTCCTCCAGTGTCGTCAGGCCGATTTCCCTAAAACTTTCTTCGAAGGACAACCCCCGTAGCCCTGGGACTAGTCTTGTTGTAAACTTTTGCACTTTCTCTAATTTCTTGACGTGCTTGACTAGGTGTGGATTCCAAACTGGTGCTGCATACTCCAGTATGGGCCTGACGTAAATGGTATACAGAGTCTTGAACGAATCCTTACTGAGGTATCGGAACGCTATCCGGAGGTTTGCCAGGCGCCCGTATGCTGCAGCAGTTATCTGATTGATATGCGCCTCAGGAGATATGTTCGGTGTTATACTCACCCCCCAGATCTTTTTCCTTGAGTGAGGTTTGCAGTCTTTGGCCATCTAAACTATATTGTGTCTGCGTGCGGTCTTCTTTGCCCTTCCCCAATCTTCATGACTTTGCATTTGGCAGGGTTGAACTCAAGGAGCCAGTTGCTGGACCAGGCTTGTAGCCTGTCCCGGGTTCTCTTTGTAGCCCTGCCTGTTTCCTCATCCGATTTGATTCTTCTCATTAACTTCACATCATCTGCAAACAAGGACACTTCTGAGTCTATCCCTTCCGTTATGTCATTCACATATACCAAGAACAGCACAGGCCCTAGGACTGACCCCTGTGGTGTGTGTGTTTTGTGTGTGTGTGGTGTGTGTGTGTGTGTGTGTGTGTGTGTGTGTGTGTGTGTGTGTGTGTGTGTGTGTGTGTGTTGTGTGTGTGTGTGTGTGTGGGGTGTGCGTGCGTGCGTGCGGCGTTGGTGTGTGTGTGTTGTGTGTGTGTGTGTGTGTGTGTGTGTGTGTGTGTGTGGTTGTGTGTGGGGTGTGTGTGTGTGTGTGTGTGCGAGCCGCCCTCGTGTGGATGTATGACCCACTTAATATTTGTATTTATAACTCATTACAATTGTGACCAGGTGTGGACATATCAGTAGTTCATTACTTTGTAATATGTTCATGACTGTAACCACGAATAGGAGTGTAGATGGTTCATCACCTTTGTAACTTGCCATGATTGTGACCAGATCTACCTGGAGTTCATTACCATTGTAACTAGTTCAGCTATCATAACTTTGTGGGCCAAGTCCTTGGACCCATTATGTACCTATGTAATCTTTTGATTATCGCCCACAGGATGGGTATGGGGTACATAATAAACATATTAAACTTAAACTAAGACCACACTAGCCCTCCTGTCCAGGAGGGCTAGTGTGTAAAGAATGTGGGGTCTAAAGTGGTATGTAAAGAATGTGTGGTCTACACATTCTTTACATATGTTTAGATCGTAAACATTGGCAAAGTTCTCAGCAGCCCTTACCAGTGAGTCCGAGACAATATTAAATGATTGTTCACTTAACAATTTCATCCTAACCTTAGCTGAATAAAAAGCTTTCCATGGACTCAACAACAGGGTACGATTTATCTTTGCAAACGTTAGTCACCGTTAGCCAACATTCTCGCTGAAATTAGTACTGCTGGACTGCTGTTGTTTCCTTAACAATAGTCCAACAGCAGTCATTTCCAGTATGCTCGGCAGACATATACTGTCATCTGGAACTCCTAAACCTGCTTATCCATGATTCCAGGAACAATCAACAAAATTAATATATTAATGAATATTTTTGTCTGCTCATGGAAGAAACAATAACAGCCAATAGGAAAATGATATGCTGGATATAAAGAACATTAAAAATGAAGATTCCATGGCAACAGTTATACTTCAGGTACTCGTACTTCTCAAGATTGTACAACTACTGTACACTGTAGGGAAAAAAATGAAAATCTGGAGAATGCAAAGGGAAAAAACAAATTTTACTTGTTCAAATTTTAACTTTTGGGAAAAAAAAAAAAAAATTATTTGGAAGTCAAAAAACCCCCCAAATTTTTCTCCTTGGGGCAGCCGGAAAAAAAATTTTGATTAAAAATTTTCAAACCCACGAAATTATTTGGAGGGGGGTTGGGTTAAAAAAAAAAGCACAATTTTAAATTTTCCTCTTTTTGGGGACAGGATGAAAAAGGGAAAAAAATTAAACCCCCGGGGAAAAATGAGGGGTGAAAATTTAAAGGCCCCTTAATAGGAAATTTTTGCGAGAATAAAAAGGGCGGAGGGTTTTCATTTTTTTTCCCATTCCCTTAAAAGAGAAACGGGCCCAAAAAGGGCACCCTTGGGCTAAAAAAAAACTGTAGATTTTTTTTTCCCGAGGTATTAAAAATCGTGAAGGGCCCTTTTAGGACGAAAGGGGAAAGGGGTTGAGGGCGATCCACGTTTGTTTTTTGTGGTTTGGCCCTCCCCTTAATTAGTTGGGTTTTTGGGTTAAACCCTTACTTTCCTTTTTAGGGGAGAACTTGGGTAAAAGGCTTTTAAAAAAAATTTCTTTTCAAAAATTGGGTGTGGTCTTTCCTTTGGGGGCCGGGGGGGGGGGGGAGCAAAAGGGCAAACTTTCCAAACCAATTTAAAAGAAAAAAAAACTGAAAAAAAGGGTCGATGGGGCGGGTGGGTTTCCCCGGGACAATCAAAAAAGAAACCCCCAAACGAGAAGGGGTCCAAATTAAAAATTTTAGGCTTTTTAAAAAACCGGGGTAATGAACCTTTTTA